ATATATACGTATATATGTGGAAATATTAATTATTAATGGTAATTTCGTAAACTAACCTTATTACTCTTTTGACTATTATCTGGCGATGTTACTCGTTTTAAGTGGGCAACAACAATACAGTGTCGAATATTATGATTTCGTCTAGCACATTTATCCATTACTTGGTCGCAAATTGATTTTAGACCAAGAAATTTCGGTCCTCTCCATACTCCATCGGCAGTAACAATTATTTCAGCTCCACAGTCTATAACTCTTTCTGCGAATGAGTCAGCGGAAAAACCGGCGAACTATAAAAAATTCAGATTTTTATAATCCACATGCATTTATCTTGAAATCTATATAGGTATATAATACACAGTATATATTTTATATGCTAGGCAAAATATTGCATCAGAGGGTTTACCGTTATTGATTATTAATTAATTATCTAAATTACCTTATTAAAAATAGAAAATTTGATAAAAGGTTCATTTCTATATTTTTAAATCGGTAATCATGTAGGTACTTTTAGCATTTTAAATGGGTTTTACTAAACATGGAAACGATTACTGCTTTGATTTAATCATCATTACAATATCTAATTAAGTGTCTGCGTTACAGAAGTTTTGCAAAATTGTAACATATTATTTCTTACATGGTTTGAAAATGAAGTTATAATTTTATATTAAGAGGCATGTACCGTACGTTATTATGTGAAATATTTTAATTATTTTTTAATAGAAAAGAAACCCACAATCTTTATTTTGTGAGATAAACATACCAAGTGTTTCTTTCTGTTAAACGGTTAATTTAGATTGGTTTACTAGTCGTAAATGTATTGTAGTTTGAGGTACATAACTACTATATTGAAGAAAAGCTTACCACTACCGAATAAACTATAGTACCTACCTACATTTTTCAATGCGACCAAAAATTATATTATTTTTGGAGATAAACAATGAATTATTGTAATGAACGTAAATTTAATGTCATAATATCAATGATTGGAAAAGCTGATCATGATTTTTTGTGTAAATTTTGCGTATTCAGGGGGTTGAGCTTATTTATTCTCAACGCTTTTCTCGCTAGCACGACAAAACTAGGAACCTACATATGTTTAGTCTAAACCTGGACTGTGATTTCTTGGTGAAACATCTTAACAATATAAATTGTATATTAAAAGCTTCTGGAGATGCAAAAGGTCATACTTTTTATAGAGACGTAGAGCTTCCGAAATGCGCTCCGTACCTTATTACTTTGCAAAATATATGACCGTTAGAGGGGAGTCTGTGAGGTGCTAGCCCATGGCGCTCCCAACATTTAATCCACTTCTACTCGGAAAGCGAAAATAAAATGTGCGATACATACTTCGTTTACTTTCTCTAGCGATGTGCCCTTTCCAATGTCTAGGATGCGCGCTGGCAAAATCGTATGTAGGAAGAAAAAAGCTCATTATACTCTCGACTCTTGTTTATTAAAAATACTTTTTCATACAGTACCTGCCAAAAGTTTTGTTCAATTATGAGAGTAGTGCGAGTCGAAAACAAGCGTTAAAGCCTTTAATATGTCTTCAAATATAAATAAATATCTCGTTGATATTTTCAGTAATAATTGGTATCAATAACAGCACATTTGAGCAATGCAATTTTAGTGGATAAAATGGTCAATTTTTCCGTGCAGTACTGTACGGATTGTACGCTCCTCTCCTGGTAAGTGTTTTGCCGAGAGTTGTCTCTTTTCTTTTCTGGTCTAGTGCTGTTCTTTTCTACTTTGCGCCGGTCAAAGTAAAGGTCACGTCGCTAGAGAAACTAAACGAAGTATACCCAAAGAAAATTCAAAAACGTTTAAAAAAAAAACGAAATATTCCGAAAAAATCCTCTCAAAAATTTTACCTTTAAAAATATGGTGAGGAAAAGTTTGGTCAAAAATTGAATTTATTATTAGATATCCGCGCAAGATGGAATTCAACAATGAAGATGATCAAACAATTCTTGAAACTGAAGGATGCCACAAAAAATCATTGTTCAGTCTTGGTATTTGTCTTGGTTTTGCTTATTTGGTATTGGTCTTAGTAAAATACTTCTGGTCTTGATCTTGGATTTACTGATAGTCTCGGTCTTGGTCTTGCTGATATAGTCTCGGTATTGGTCTTGATTTTGCACTTTAGGTTTTGGCCTTGCTCACTTAATCTGATACAAACTTACATTTTTTCTTTAATGATTTTCCTAAGCACAAATTTTTCTATTTACGGATATAATAATTGTTTTAAATGCTGAAATCTTCTATCATAAATGCGAGCTTGTCATAACTTTTAAAGAAAATAGTGTCGATGGTTGTAAGAATCATGAAAACCCGAGAATACAACCCATAAAGATGTTTTGTTCCAAGAAAAGAATATATTAAAGTTGCTTCAAATAATTTAACTTATAAATCCACCGGAAGTAATAATTTTTCGTTTACTCTTGCGTATTTGATCTTGGTTTTGCATATTCGATCTTGGTTTTGGTCTTGGTTTTGCAGTTTCGCAAAACCAAGACTAAGACTGCAACACCAAGACCATTTGCTTATTACTAGTAGATTTCAGTAATAAGATTATTGTTTCTCTTGTTTCCTCAGAATACGAGGGTGGATTGATAAGTTTCCGGCCTGACCAAGAAAAACAAGGTTTTTAAAAATTTTTTTTTTTTATTTCTCAACATAATCTCCTCCAAGGCTGATACATTTCTCATAGCGGTGTTCCAGTCTATTAATGCCATCTCTATAGACTGATTCGTCAAGCTCCTCAAAATAACCATTTACAGCTTCGATTACTTCTTCATTGTCCGCAAATCTCT